AGTGCTTAAATAGAGCCTTCTAACACCACAAATGAAACAGCTCCAGAACACATATAATTTTATGGTCAGGATAATTAGGGTTGCCTCTGTAGAGCCAAATGTCTTAAACACAGGCATCATGCTGCCCATTTCCCAGCAGTTCTCCTTGCTGCTAGCTTGTATTCCCTTTTATATGGCTCCAATCTGGCATGCTAGGAGACTAACAGGTTCCAGCTGTTCCATTGGCCAATCCTTTCCTCCTTGCACAGAACCCTGTTGGAAGCCAATCACTCTCGCACCCTTTCCAGGAGGCAAATGCACACTGTAGTCATGACAGTAGCTAATAATAGAGCCTATGAGGACTAAAGCATTTGGGGCACCTATACACATGCAGTGAGGCTGCTCCGACGTGCTATAATTACAGTGTGTCAGAGCAGACTCAATTAATCAAGTCTGCTGAAGTGTGGTAATTATCACGTTCCAGCATCACATGTATCAGTGTCCCTGCACTGAAAAAATGGCACTGAGGGCACTATAACTAAAGTTCGCCAAACAAGCTTTAGTTAAAAGTGCCCCCCACCACCATTTTTCAATGCTGAGATGCTGATACATGTGACACTCTGGGCGCTTTAATTAGAGTGGCTCTCATTAAAGTGACCTCCTCCCCCACTCTTGGACCATGTGTATAAACACCCTTGGAGTTTAGCCTTTTAGAATTTATTCATTTTTTGACAAAATCATGAGTTCCATATCAATTCACAGTATGAGACTCATGGGACCTTTACATTTCTGACAAACGCTACAATGAATTCCCATTATGCTTTTCAACAGACTAAGCGCTCTATGAGATGACATTTTCAAGAGGACTTGGAATGAATAATAGTAGTTAAACTGAAATGGCTCATAATATTTATTATTAAAATTCCCTATGAGCCTGACTTAAGGACTGAGGCACTACATACTGCCACTTTGAGTTCCAAAAGATTCAAGCGCATAATAGCAGAACTAGAGAATTAGGTTTAGAGGTTTTGACTTGGGTCCATTCATAAGTAGAAGTGAATTAAATAATTGCCTGCTTACAAAACAAAAGTAGCATTCACAAAAAGAGTATTCATAAGCATTATCTGTAAGGTAAGTCTATTATCTCTGGCCTTAGTCTTCATAAACACTCTGTATTGCTGCCTTGCAAACCAGGAGTAGCATAACCACAATTATACATTTGTGCAGGCAGGCTAATTGGCACTGTCAATCAGCTATGCTAATTAGACTGCACCACCAGCTGTGTGGAGGCAGTTACACTGTTTCTGGTTTAGGAAGCAGCCTACTCAGAACAGCACAGATTTGTGAAAACAGTAAGTTTTTCATACTGACATAGTCAGAGTTTTAGTTACAACAACTAATGGGTAGAGTGTTTTCCTTGCTGGATCATTTTAATACTGTAACAATAATATATTCTTATAAGGAATCTTCACAATTCTTGGATAGTGAAATTCATGCCATTACAAGATATTTGTACCATAAAAATCCCACTTAAGTGGTTCATACATCATGTGATATTGCTTTGCACAGAGAAATTTCAGTGAGAATGAGGAGATGAACCTGAGACATTAAAAATAAGCGTGTGTAAAATATGTGCATACCAAATATTCATTGATTTTTGTAAAATTCATCTTCATTTTATTAAGAAAAAAGATTAATAGAAAAGTCAATTAATTATGCATACATATATTTAAATGTTTTGTATAACTCTGTAATACACTTTAATTCCAAATAAGTTTAGGAAAACAAGCAAAGCAAATTTCCATACTCTAAAAGGAGGAGAGATTGCACAAAACAGGATGTAATAACTTGTCAGCAATAATACCATGACACACAGTAAATATAGATTATTATATGAAATGACAGTGATAATAAGCATCAACTTAGCATAAAACTGGAAGTAATGAGAAAATCTCAAAACACCATGAAGAAGATACATCATACCCTGGAAAAGAAGTCACATCCTTTCCAAAAAGTTTGCTTAGCCTTTAGCATTTGACTTTTGCCAATGTTCTTGTTTTAATTAACTGCTGCTCTGGTAATTTATGAGACTTTTTAATGTGGTCACAGTTATCTATGCAGTCACTAAAGTAGGTCTCATAAGGCATGGCTTACTGCTTTGATGCATACTACTTGAAAAGTACTATATCGCCAAGTACATTTGATTTGATTTAAATTCCTTCTTGAACCCTCCAGTCAACACAAAATTTAAACTAGATAATGCAACTAATCAAGAGGGCAAAATCTTTGGATAATTCAACACAAACATCCTGTCTATGCTTGAATGATGGTGTTGGCTAACGTGATAATTAGAGGATAAAGTGTCTTGCACTTCCACAAAAATTGTTGGTTTGAACCGACTGGTGTTTCAATCTACATTGATAAACTCACCTTGGACTTCACTGATATGTGAAAAAAGTTTTCCTACAATAAAGTATCTATTACTATTATTAATTATTAGATTTATATGCTGCCCTTCAGAGAAGTCTCAGAGTGACTTATAACAGAAAAACAAAATGATTATAGAAACAGAGTAGAATATTATTAGAACTCATTTCGTTGCATTTCTGTCTCAAAAAAATTGTTCCATATCTGGCAGTCCTCCTACTGCTATCCTATGCTGGCTAGCTGGGTCACCATGTCTGTTTACCTGTGTGGGACTTCTACTGCTATGAAGTCATCTTAACTGGATGCCACCTCTATGTTTAAATGCCAGTGCACAAGGCAGGTGCAGCTCTTTGAAATTCCAGCTTGTGGTATTTCAAAGTTTTGAATACTTTGCAGGCATGCCTCCAGGTTTAACATCACTTTGTGCTGAGTTCCTGGACTTTACACTTTTCTGGGGAGCAGAGCATGCTCAGGCCCACTAGGCAGCAGAAAAAAAGGACAATGGGCACTCCAGGGCCTGCATTATTGTCACAGCAAAATAAAATTGCCTCAGTTGGATTGTAAGAATGTCAGGGACAAAAACTGGATTTATGGGAGAGCTCATAGCTCTGATGCAACCATACTGAGATGGACTATAGCAAATAGCCATCCTATTAGATAAATATTTTTCAATTGCCTCCAGTCTTTGCACCTTGACACTATTTGCATCTACCCTTCAGCCTTCCATATTCACATTCCACCATTAATCTGAAGATGCCCACGTATAGTTAAATTTTTCCCCAATTGAATCCAAGTCTCCAGTAAAAAGTGTAATCAGTCAGGTAAGTAAGGTAGGTTTCTTAGAACTGCAGGAGAATTCCTGTAATTACACTCCACCATCACAGTTCATAGTGGTCCTCAAACCAAACATTTCAATTTTCACTGCAGAACATAGGTCAGAGTTACTAAAGATCCTGGCATTGTGGACCCCTCAACTATCCACATTAATACTGGTACTATGAAGAAATACTTCATTATGCTTATAAACTTCCAGGCCTGGTTGGGAGACATGGGGGACAACGAATGAGTACATAGTTCCCATCTGTGGTCCCCAGTGCAATTCACCCATGCAAATCCATTAATAACTCCTGGTACAGTACCAAAACTTTGAATCTGGGTAAGGAGAAGTTTTCTAATAGCAACAATGGACAGTGCCATAACAACAGGCCATACAAGATGTACCAAAATCTAACTCAGTTGTTGATTAACAACAGCTGAGATTGGCAAGCTCCCAGACAGAAATCCTCTCCTACATTTCTATGCTGAGGGGAACTCTTGTATATGGGGACAATGCTGCAGCCCTAGGATGAGATCTGCACAAATTTCTAAGGCTTTTGCCATCTAGAAATGCTGCCATCATTATTGGTCCTCCTTACTCTTCAGCATCATCTTGTCTCACCAGTCTGTGCTAAGTGGACAAGCCTAGAAAGAGTATACAAATGACTACCTGATTTCAGCTTTCTTTTCCTCAGGTGCCCCTATTACCCTAGCTCTCAGGTAATTGCACAGCTTGATATATGTACAGCAGCACATCAAATCACAGTGCTTAGCAGCATTTCCTCCATGCTCCCTGACAGCTACCTGAAAACGCTGCTGCCTAACAAAAGCCAAAATAATAATGAAAGGAAAAGAGAGGAAACACAGGGTATATTTAGTTTGACATGAAATTCCAGACATGCATCCCATCTAATAGGTATCCCACAATGGGCAGAAAGGCTAGCGGTACAGCATTGCACCAGGAGATGCAAAGGGCTTATTTTTGACTTACCATGACTTACCATGTGGGAGTAATGATTCAAAAGACAGTTAACTTAACCTGGGACAACAAGGCAGTATAGATACACAGCTCATGCAACAGTTATCTCATGTCACTTGCTAGAGAAGAACTCAACCCAAGAACAGACTTTCAAAAAAACATGCCTAGCAGGAATTTACTAACCCTTATCTTTCTTACATTTCCAGCTGACAGGTGAAGTTATAAGAGTAACTTTTCAGTGTATTCCATAACTATCTGTATGTGTAGGCCCATAGACTCACTTAAATTATTTTGTTTAGAGTGAAATCTATGTATACAGGTACACCAAGGTATTTAGAATATTTCCTATATTGCAGTTTATAAATATTTTTCCAATTCATGTCTAATGTTGTTAAAGCAGGCATAGAATACTTTGAGGCATACATTTAGCATTCAAAGCAACCATCAAAATGAATATTATAATTGAATATGCAAAATTATATTAGAAAATACTTTTCTAAACAATGAAACAATGGCTAGCCAGCTGAGTATCACAATTCCTTACTCTGTAGGGCCTGACATTTCTTCTCCTCCCCTGCCCACACAAATCTCTTTGTGCCTCATGGGTTATAAAAGTAAACCACCAGATTCAACATTATAAAATGTAAATGAGGCCATGCATTTTTATAGACCAACTGAGGAGATGAAAGATGAAGTGAACATGTCCTGTTTATACAGAAGTCATTCTGTACTGTAGAGTACTGCAAATAGGGAAGTACTGTAGATACAGGAGGAAAAACTCCTGCTTGACTTAACATACCTTGAGCTGCTAATTCTTTCCACCTGTCTTTGTTTGCTTGAATGATCTGTACCAAGTTCTCCTTAAAGCTTTTTAGGTCTACAGTTGCTAGAGAATTTTCTGTGGAAGACCCTCCATCAGTTGTAGTACATTTCACACTAGGTCTTCTTTGTGTTTCAGCATTGCTTACTGCTCCCAAGCTATTCTGGCTGCAGAAAAAAGTAAACTCTAAATTATGAACAGAATAGGAGGTCACAAATGGTTCCTGTATATCCATTTAGAGCCTAAATGGAAATCACTCACCAGGAAAATAATCTCTGTCAAAGAAAGCATAGTAGAAACATGACATTTCCTTATTCAGTGAATGATACCTTGTCACTCACTAGCATAACTAAGGGAAGGCAACTGGGCCAGCAACCCTGGGTGCTGCCTATGTGGGGGGCGGGGAGGAGGAGGGGGCAAAAAATAGCCACAACCTCAGAGAATTATTACAAAAAAATATAGCCATTCAGCTTACACTTGATAGCTCAGTACCTAGAAAAAAATAATGTAGCAAGTCTAGTAGTAACTTTCTTTGTAACCCTTTGAAACAGAGTGGTGCTTTTGGGCCACATACATAACCTGCCCATCACTGACCCATACCAGAAAGGTAAGATTTGACAGAGTAGATAATGCTCTCAGATGCATGTCCTTGGCTCCAACTCTTCACAGGAGCTCTATGCATGTATCCAAAGGCAAAATATTATCTAAAATTATGAAGCTTCATAAAAACCACTTAAGTCAGACAAAAAATATCAAAATATGTTGAAATATTAAACACAAAGATGGCATTATCCACGAGCTGACATTTTGTGCAGATAAGTAACAACTAGGATAAGGAACCAGGTTATACTGTCTCTATTTGCATACATATTTAGGTGACAACTTGATATATTCAAAATGAATTATCTTGTTAACACTAAAAGTATATTTTGAAAGTCTATTTCATGGCCTCATCCTGGCCCTGGTCACACCAGGTTTTATTTTCCAGGTTATATTGTTTTCCCAATCAAAAGTAGTACCACTTTAAATTACTTTAGAAAGAGTTAGAATAAAAATGTCATTTCTTGCATTTACAGAAATGGACTTCTATTTCCCCTGCAAGGAGGAAGCATAGTTTCAATTAACACTTTAGTGAAGATATTATAAAGATGCTGTTGCAACACTACAAATTAGAACTCCTTTTGCCCTAAAGATGTTAAATATAATAGAATGGAGAAGGCATATTGGCATTCAAATGCTTTTCAGCAATATAATATATACAGCCTCAGATATTAGTGATTTCCAGCAACTAGCATAAATGTAGCAGAACTGGTTCAGACTAATCTCCCCATCCCTTCCTCAGGCCTTAGTCCTTCATCCCTTACTCAAAATTATTTGAAAGGTGCTAGTTCACTCCGATCACCTCTTAGTCAACTATCAAGTTCATGTGAGTTTGGGGCTTGTAACTGCTCAATCTCCAATAAAGTAAGAGCGAACAGTTAAGTGGTATGTAGCTTCACTGGTCTCAGTCTAGCTCAGTTGCACAAAATGGAAAGAGCACTTCTATAAATAACAGTCTCTCTACAGCAATAGAAATACATGTAGAGTATGTTAATTTCCAGAAAGCAGACAATTATAGCTACATCATCTGTTACTAAAAAATCTAACCAATACACTGCTAAGGAATTACTGCACTGGAATACTGTATATAGTACTGCATTGTATTGCTACACTGAATGTGGCTTTTCAAAAATAATCAATGCATTAAAAAATAAAAGACCGTAATAACAGACAACTGGAAAACCATATTTGATTATCAAACAATAAATTCACATGGCTAAATTGATCTCTAGCATCTACTGAAACTTTTAGACATTTTATGAAATGTAAAAGTATGAAATTCATGATCCCACATGGGCCTGCTGGAAGCTCATTATGCATCTCCTGTTTTGCCAAACTGGAATGAAAGTGAAATGAATTTTACTCAAGTGCATATATTGTATAATAATGACCAAAATTTGTTGATCTTTAGCATGTGCTGCTGGGCTATTTGGACAGGGTTGAAGTCTGGGGATTTGACTAAGAGCATGGGGTGGTGGGGTGCTGCTGCTGCTTATTCTTTGTGGTTTAAAGGCACAATGACATTTGTCCTTCAACAGTTTGTTGAATACCCTTTTTGAACCTGGTTATATTATCTGCCTCTGCAAGAAATCATTTATTTTGTTTTTTATTGTTAGCTTCCCTGATATTATTTTGGGAAGGGTGATATATAAATCTAATATATAAATAAATAATGGGAATCCTAAGAAGCCCGGGGTAAAAGAAGCCATTAACATCTATAGCTTAAAATAAATTAATAACTACTACCACCGCCTCTGGAACTGTTTCTTTCTAGGGATTCCTCAAATATAGAGGAACAACTTTTAATATTTTCACTTAAATAAAACAGAAAGAAAGTTAGGCTGCATGAATTAGAGGCCTTAATACACAGCATTAAGTACAAATGGCCTAGTATTTTTCATCATGGAAGCAAAACAGCAAACCTATTTTTTCTGTATGTAATTCAACTTCATATCTGTAGAGATAGGTACTCTGTTATCTATTTTTCCCTTTCCAAATGCAGTGTTCATGTCCAATAAGCAGCTGCAATTCTAAGATATTGTCACTAGATGGCATGATTGTATATGCTATTCATGTCAAACTCCAAACATGAAATCAGTTCTATGGCTGATGATTAGTTGAAAAAAAAATCACAAAGCAAAAGGATGTTAAATTGTTCAAACCTGGGTGCCCCAAAGGCAGAAGTTTCAGATTTTGAAGCTTCCTCTATAAGAGGAATAACAATTTTCTCCATTGAGTCCGTAAGAAGAGAAAATGTTGGTTCTACTATGAAATCAATGAAACCTGAAAAGCAGGAAGTGATAAATTCAGATTCTACATTTCCCATGTTTAAAATCCAGTAACTAATCTTAGGATTATAACAAGAGTTTTCCATATTAAGAAATCAGATCCTTTATTCACAAACCACATAGTCCAACTTCAAAAACTACTCATTAGTAAAACTAATAATGTCATACAGTGATATACAAGATGTTTACTCAGTTAAAAAACAGCCCAAGACATTGGGTTTCTCTGTTTAATGTTGGCTTCATATCCTGAAGTGAAGTTCAGTTCAGTTTATATATACTGGCAGTATTTTTCTATCATGTGCTGAAATATTGATAAGTAACAGCATGAGCTTGTGGAGAACAAAATCCCCATCAAAGCTGGAGATACACATGTATACCTAACTGTTTGCATTTATAGCTTTTCATTCCTCTCCCTGCTGTATGCAATGCACTTTACAATAAGCTTTTGTTTTGAAAATTAATTATTGAATAGAAGGGAAGCTATAACAAAGCTCACAAGCAAGAAGTTGTATTGTCGCTGTTACCTTTCAGAACTTCATGCGAGTGAGGTGGTATTCTAAACTGCTGTTTATGATTCTGTGGAAGTAAAGTGTTACTTCACAGTGTGTAGGAGTTTTCTGTCATATCAATGAAGAGAACAAGTAATATCCCTGGGAGACAGCATTCATCCCACAGCTCTGAGATGTCAATGCTGAACAATGTCTTTTACAATTTAAAGTGCTCATCAAGGTAGGAAATGGCATAGCTAGAGGATGAGGTATTATCCTCTGCTGAGCACTTAACAGGAAAAAAAATAGGTAGAACATGAGACAGCAATGGGTTTCAAGCTCTCCACATACAGTACCTAATGCACCACAACACGAAGGTGAACAGCAGCACTTTAACCCAGAAACCAGCTTTCCACATTCAATAGGCATAATAAGCTCAAATACAGTATTGTTTGAGTCTGAATAGAAATGGAATGGAAGACATTTTAAATTACAGGATTACACTGGAGGACATTGTTCAGTTTAAGGAAGAGATGCCTTAAAATACAGTCTCTCTCCAAGATCATTTGGTGGGCATAGGTTCACACATGTGGAAGACACTTTTCAAGGCATTGTAGTTATGAGGACATGTTACTCAGCAGGCTTCTAAAGTCTGCAATTGTAACTGAACTCATGCAAAATTAAAGTAATTATTTTTCTCCCAAGTTTTACAGGTGGTAAAAACTGAGAAGGAGAGAGAGTAGGGGCTGCATTTTATCTCTGAAAATCAGAATGTCATCACCAATGCTGCGGTTTGAATCCAGTGACTTTGGATCGCATCCAAAGGGCCTTTTGAAATCAAGGGTTTGCCTGCTCGACTGGGTACCTGGGCATGTGTAGAGTGTTCAGCCTGATTGTAGCTCATGTAGACCTACCTGAGGTAGCTCTGTGTTACCTAGCTTAGTACGGCTAGAAGTCAACTATGGCAGCACAGACTTCAGCACTGCTTTCACAGGCCTACCCTGCCCTTCGGTAATTGCTCACAGTGGAAGGCCATACTGACATCATTGTTACTGGTACCCAAAATAGGTTGTTTCAATTTAGGTTGTGTAGGTCTACATGAACTACAATCAGACCGTCATACTGCAGTGTCAACATATCCTTATGCAACAATGAATGAGTGAACCCTCTCCATGGACTACTTCATCAAATTGTAAAAAGGCTGTGGGAAATTAGCTATTTACTATAGATAGGCCAAAGAGTTCTCCCTTCTAGTACACAGATCTAATGCCTTAAATACACTGTCCCAGATGCTATGTATGCTGAAAGAACTTAAGGTCCCTTCTAACAACAAATTACTACCATGATGCTGTTTGATTTGTGTGAACAAGTGACTAAAGAAATACTAGCTCTGGACACTTATGTATACTAGTATCCAAAGCTAGTATCCACATACAAGTTGTGCAGTGTGAGAATGGTGCATGATCATACTACATGCATCTAAAGGTATGAGAAAAAAGCAAACAACACTGATTATTACCTATTTGGGATTGAGCCACCAATGTAGACTTGCGGTCACAGAGTGGGGAAAATGGTAGCCCTAGAGCAGCCTCCTTGTCTCCCTGGAAACAGTAGTGTTAAATAGTATAAACATATATATATATATATATATATATATACACACATGCGAAGAAAAAAAGCCTGTACAAGAATTTAGCTAACCAATTACTTTATTCATTTAACTTTCCTAAACTAAAATAAAACTATGTAAAAAGAAATCATATCACCCCGCTGCCACACACACACACACACACACACACACAGAGTGGTTTCTCCACCTCTGAGCTACATGTTGCCCCACCCCCCTCCTCTTCCAACCCCAC